TCCTCGCCCCTCACTGCTCCTCACCCCCTCACTGCTCCTCACCCCTCACTGCTCCTCACCCCCTCGCTGCTCCTCACCCCCTCGCTGCTCCTCACCCCTCGCTGCTCCTCACCTCCTCTCCCACAGACACGCCCCTTTTCCCATCATGCCCAAATAAAGTGTACGAATTCCACACGTTCGCTTCTTCATCTCCCTGTGGCATGTTTAGAAAACCCTGGCTGAGTGTGTGTGTGTGAGAGAGAGAGAGAGAGAGAGACTATGTCTTTGTACAGACATTCAAACTATGGTCCCAGAATCGTCCTCTGGTTTTTCCTCTGCAGTGAAGTTGATTCAAGTTATTATTGGAGACTGATGATTTGATTGGCCGTTGGTTGTCCACAGAACGACGATGGAGGAGGGAGAACCAATCACTGTCCTCAGTTATTTTCCATCCATCCATCCATCCATCCATCCATCCATCCATCCATCCATCCATCCATCCACTTATCCGTGACCAGGTCGCGGGGGCAGCAGACCGCCACCCAAATCACACTGCACCGTATCAACCCCCCCTGAACCTTCCTGTGGTTGGTGAGTCCACTGGTTGGAAAAAAAAATAATAATAAAAAGATAAAATAAATAATAATAATAATAATAATAATAAAATGGTCAGAGTGAGGAGTAGAACCAGTGTTCTACTGGAGTGGGACTTGAGTCCAGTGTCACTGATCGTGTGTGTGTGTGTGTGTGTGTGTGTGTGTGTGTGTGTGTGTGTCCTCCCTCATTGTCCACTGATCCCAAACTTTATCCCCGTCGTCTGCATGTGTTCCTGTCATTCCTGGCCTTTCCAGAATGTTCTCCTCCTCCGTGAGAGTGTGTGTGTCTGCCAAGTGTGACACACACACTCACAGAAGGAGCAGTGAATCATGGTGATCTGCTCCTCCTCTGCTCCCCCTCTGCTCCCCCTCTGCTCCTCCTCTGCTCCGCCTCTGCTCCTCCTCTGCTCCTCCTCTGCGCCTCCTCTGCTCCTCCTCTGCTGCTCCTCTGCTCCTCCTCTGCTCCCCCTCTGCTGCTCCTCTGCTCCTCCTCTGCTCCTCCTCTGCTGCTCCTCTGCTCCTCCTCTGCTGCTCCTCTGCTCCTCCTCTGCTGCTCCTCTGCTCCTCCTCTGCTCCCCCTCTGCTCCTCCTCTGCTGCTCCTCTGCTCCTCCTCTGCTCCTCCTCTGCGCCTCCTCTGCTCCTCCTCTGCTGCTCCTCTGCTCCTCCTCTGCTCCTCCTCTGCGCCTCCTCTGCTCCTCCTCTGCTGCTCCTCTGCTCCTCCTCTGCTGCTCCTCTGCTCCTCCTCTGCTGCTCCTCTGCTCCTCCTCTGCTGCTCCTCTGCTCCTCCTCTGCTGCTCCTCTGCTCCTCCTCTGCTGCTCCTCTGCTCCTCCTCTGCTCCCCCTCTGCTGCTCCTCTGCTCCTCCTCTGCTCCTCCTCTGCTGCTCCTCTGCTCCTCCTCTGCTCCTCCCTGACCCTCCCGTCATCAGCCCGGCTGTTTGGGAAAACAGGAAAATGACATCACTGGAGTCCACGCTCACGTCACTCACCTGTCAGTACGTCACGGTGCAGGTTCAAAGTCTGGGTCGAAGGTTTGAATCCAGGCCACGCTGTGACTGATCTATTCTGTCTGACTTTAACAGAGACGTCGATTTTGTACAAAAACGGAGTTAGGAATAAGTGAATATTTTTATTGATTTAATCAATACATCACGATGTCACGTCATCTTTTTCTTCTCCTGATTATTTTAAATCTAAATTTACTTATTTCTAAACTCAAAACAACTTTTGGTGCTGACGTCATAATTAGACAATTAACAATGAGATGAAAATAAAAATGACGCCACCAACAGGTTAAAGTTCATCAGCAGCAGCACTTTTATCTCCAACGGCCTGAATGTGGAAAAAGTGACACTGAATTACATCCAATACCCGAGCGGTGACATCACTCTCCTCCACGAGTGGGCCGCCCTGATTGGGCGGCGCCTCCAGCCAATCAGAGGGCACACACACGGGAAGCGTTTAAAAAGATTCAGAACCGTGTCGGAAAGTTGTCCCAAAGCTTCACAGCCGTCACTGAGCTCGACGGAAACAGAAGAATCTGCCGCAGAAGAAGAGGTTTAATCAAAGCAGAGAAACAGAGAAGAGCGGGAATTGTACCGGGAATTGTACCGGACTTTGTTTGTTTCGTGTTGGGGCAGAGAACGTTAACGTGCTGCTCGGTTTATAAAGCCCTCCTTCAGCTTCAGCTTCAGCCCCAGCCGTGACGTGACGTGACCCAGACAGCAGGATGTCAACACATTTCAGGAGCGGCCCAGCCTTCGGACTGTCGGCCGAGGTCAAGAGTAAAGTAAGTTTGGACAACGTTTCTTTGATTTCTGTGCCACATCAAACACTAAAAAAAGCACCTCGGGCGGGCGTGAGGAGAGAGAAGGGGGGGGGTCTGAGAGGGTAAACCAGCACGGACACAGAAGCTGGACCAACAAACAACCCTGGCTCTCTCAATGTTACACTGTATTTGACTTAACCAGGTAACCATCCAGTGACGTCTGCAGTAACTAGTAACCAGAGACAGAAACTACATCAAAGACACGAAGTTAATATTGGAATTATTTGAAGTTGAAAAAGTTTAAATAAGGTGATTCTGATTAAAAAGAACTAAAACAGACGAAGACGCGTCAACAAACATTACATTTTGAACAAACTTCAATTAAAAACTGTTACAGTTTTTTTTTGAAGCGTTGTTAAATGTTTTGAAGTAGCTCTGCGTTAGCTTTTCCTTTTACCGAACCTGAAAAAAAAGAAGAAAAAAAAACGATGAACGGAACAGGACTTGAACCTGGTGTGAAAACACGCCTGAACGAGGATGTGTAAGAAATGGCTTTATTTCTCCCTAATCCGTCTTAGAACTTTCTGACTAACCCTCGTCTGCCTCGATGATTAGAGGAAAAACGGAACAGAAGTAGAAATAAAAAACACTAGCCTTAAACTGAGCCAAAAAAACCCCTAATGTTTCCAAAATGTTAAAACAACATTGAACAAAACATAGTGACAACATTTGTTGTTTTTCCTTTTTTTTATTGGAAGCATGTTGCAGTGGACATGTCATAATATTCTGAGCATATTTTGAGGTCAAACGTAGAACTCCCTCTGCTGGCCTTTCATTTTCACAGTTCGTGCACCGCAGTGACGCAGACCTCTGTTTTAAAACACCAGAGTGACTGGTAGAACATTCTGGTTGTTTGACTGCAGCGTTGGCCTTAAAGGGCTAGTGACATGTTTTAAGAGAATAGAAATGGCCACAAGGGGCGTGGTGGATTTCTGTCCTCCTGAACTCTGTCCTGTCTGTAGCAGCTGTAGTAGATATCAGTGCTAACATGCTAGGTTCGTGTGTGTGTGTGTGTGTGCGCGCAACATAATCACCAGTTGAAATGTACAGTTTGTAGATTTAGCACCCTCTAGTGGTAACATAACATGTTTCACTCCATAACCATGTAGGCGTGGAGTCGGTGTTGATGTGTCTCTGGTCCAGAGTCAGTGTACGTCAGCGTCACTCTGGGACTCGGACTCGGACTCGAACTCTCTTCCGTCTGCCTGATGAGGTTGTTTGGTTTTGCTGCTGCTGTCGTGACAGTAGTGACTGTGTTCACTGGGATGAGTCAGAGCTGCCGACAGTTCTAGAAAGGTCACCGTGTGAGTGTTGTGACACCCACATCATCGCCGTCCTCCTCCCCCCGCGGGGATTTGGCCTCTTCCACCACCGGGTGGCGTCATCTCTCATCAGTACCAGTTAATCCCACTCCACGGTGCAGTTCACTCCTTAATCACTGCACCTCCTGGTCAGAGGTCAAGGGTTCAGGTTTTGGTGTTTCCCTCGCCACCATCACACGGTGTAGTTCCATCAGCATGACGTCAGGAGGAGCAGGGAGGAGGTCAGGAGGTCAGGGAGGAGCAGGGAGGAGGTCAGGGAGGTCAGGGAGGAGGTCAGGGAGGAGCAGGGAGGAGGTCAGGTAGGAGCAGGGAGGAGGTCAGGGAGGAGCAGGGAGGGGGTCAGGAGGAGCAGGGAGGAGGTCAGGGAGGTCAGGGAGGAGGTCAGGGAGGAGCAGGGAGGAGGTCAGGAGGTCAGGAGGAGCAGGGAGGAGCAGGGAGGAGGTCAGGAGGTCAGGAGGAGCAGGGAGGAGCAGGGAGGAGGTCAGGTAGGAGCAGGGAGGAGGTCAGGGAGGAGGTCAGGAGGAGGAGCAGGGAGGAGGTCAGGGAGGTCAGGGAGGAGGTCAGGGAGGAGGTCAGGAGGTCAGGGAGGAGCAGGGAGGGGGTCAGGAGGAGCAGGGAGGAGGTCAGGGAGGAGGTCAGGAGGAGCAGGGAGGAGCAGGGAGGAGGTCAGGGAGGAGCAGGGAGGAGGTCAGGGAGGAGCAGGCTCAGGTACATCAGCCTGGCCTTTTAAGGAGAGACTGGGCCTCGACGTGGAGCTGGAGAAAGTCTCCTTTGTCTAAATAGTTTACAGTAGAGTCAAAGAAAACCAAACGGCATCCTGACACAACCCAGGCTGGAGGAGGAGGACGGAGGAGGAGAAGGACGGAGGAGACACTGGACCGAGACACTAGACGTGACGCTAACAAACCAAAGTCTAACTCGTTCCTGTCAGATTTCAGTCACAGACAAAAAAGAAACATTACAATGTTTATTTGTTTATTTGTTGACTGAAAGACCAGGATAGTAAAGAGTCAGTTGACTAACTCTGTAACTGGACTAACTCAGTAACTGGACTAACTCAGAAACTGGACTAACTCAGTAACTGGACTAACTCAGTAACTGGACTAACTCTGTAACTGGACTAACTCTGTAACTGGACTAACTCAGAAACTGGACTAACTCAGTAACTGGACTAACTCTGTAACTGGACTAACTCTGTAACTGGACTAACTCAGTAACTGGACTAACTGCTGTGGAATATCGTTGTCATCAAACCAAATATGGTGATATTTTAATGTATTGATTTGTTTGTTTTTTTTGAATTGGTCAAAGATTCCGTCCAGTTACTTCGTCCATTCACTCGTTATTTACACACACTGCAGGGAAAGTAATCAATCAATCAATCAACTCCTGGCTTGTTGTGTGGGTGCTTCAACCTCTGGTCAGTCATTTGGAGATTGTTCAGGATGAACGTTGTTGAGGACAACGACTGAAGAGACGTTTGTCCAGATTAATAATCCCATCATTTGGATTAGTCGCAGATATATTACGATCACGATTGTTCGTGATTAACCTTTAACCCTGTGTGTGCTGTTTTATGGTGTGGAGTTCGTACGAAGACCTGTGATTGGTCCACTGGTTTCCACACATTTAAACACCCAACAAACGTGTACTCGGTGTTTATGTATTTATGCAGCAGGGCGGCGCTCTTCACACCCACTGGACCATTGACAGAGGAAGAAGAAGGTCAGAGTCAGACCTTGACCTTGACCTTGACCTTGACCTCCTACAGGAACTGTCCACTCTGGTGTTTGTCTGAATATTTGACTCACTGTAAAAGGGCAGATTCTGCAGAAACCTCCAAGGAGCAGGAAACATGAGCTCGACCAATCAGAGACAGGAGAGAGCGAGGCAGTGGGAGAGAGCGGGAGTGTACGGGGGAGAGAGCTGTTTCTCCCAATTTTGGTGTGATGGACTGGAAGCTGTGCTCCCCCTGCTGCTTTGAAATAATTGTTTGTGTTGGCGATCAGATCCAGACTGGGAGAGACTTATCTGTCCAACATTC